TATATGAGTATAGTAAATGTTTGGTCATCTGTAAGCTTTAAATTTCTGCCAAAGTTAAGACAAACTTTTGCTGTGGAATATATTAATTTAACCAAAATTAAAACATGCATATTTGTATAATGCTTCAACATATAAATATACTTATGTGAGAAAGTAGACTCTAGACATTCTAAAACAATTGCCAGAAAGACTTACAGAATTATCTATTTATTTTTCACAGAATGATTAAACTAAAATAAATGTTTTCCTATCGGTGTAAAAATAAAGATCTGTTACAACATGAGTAAGTATTTTCTATTTTTTTTTTTAATTGAACTATTGGCAAGTGTCTAAAACCAATAATATTTTTAGCAGTTACAATATACAAAAAAATAGTTCAAGTTAGAATCAGTATTCAACTTAAATACTGCAATCAACTACATTATATATTACTGACTGTACTTACATAAATACTGTCTGTATCTGGGCATTTTTACCTTTATTGAAGTTTAAAAATGACTGATTTACTATCACAGATTTTTTTATGGAATACAGAATTAGCTGTAGTACTCTATTTTATTGTAACAGTATTAAAGATCTTTAAAATACTAAGTTGGTGAACATAAATCTTTAAGTATAGGATTACATAATAAGACAGTAAAATGCTTTAATGTTAACCCAATTTTTCAGAAATTGATCCCATCATTCTGAAAGACTCAAGTCAGACTTAAAAATTAATTTCCCGCTGTATTTATTTCCAGGACAGTCCAATGAATGAGTCTCAGGGTATCTCAGAATGTTTACCTACACTGGTAACAAGCAGCAATTTTGCATCTAAAGGTTATCAAATATATTCCAAATGAACTATCTGGGAAAGGGTCCTGCCTGTTTTTTATTCACCTTTTTTCCATTAGGTGCTTATTTTATAGCATCTGTATCTTGAAATCATATGATTTTTTTTTTCACGCTGAAAACTAGTACGAGGATAAAGAGTTATTTTATGTTACCGTGTGTGTTTTTTTTCAAAAAAAAAAAAAAAAAAAAAAAAGGAAGTTCTAGGGTAAGCTCTCATAGATACAGGAGAGAGGTAGATAAAGCTTACACAAAAATAAAAAGGAATGTAACACACAATCATATTATGTTTGTTACAATTTCAGTTTATTAAAGGAAAGCAAGGGATGCAAACTAAGTGGAAAGCTGCCAGTGCAGAATTTAAACTCCTGTTAGGTTAAAAAAAAAAAAAAAAAAAAAAAAAAACATGGAAAAGTTAGAAAATCAGAAGAGATTTCTAACAAGAAGTCTGGTAAAGGCAAAACCATTAATCATGATATTCATAATAGGAAAAAATACTAGGCGTTATCTGACTAGATGCAGATGAAGCAGCATGTGCTTCCTAAGGAAAAACTGTCTCTAGTCGGATGATAATATTCTGGTATGGATGAGCAAATACAAAATATCTTTAAGAGATGTAAAACCAAAAGCTTTGCATTAGTGACTCTAGTGCTTGTACTCAGTGGCTCTCAGAATATATCTGACAAAATAATTCCTCACTGAGATAGTATTGTGCATTTTGATCATTTCCTTCATGGAGAGGGATAGGAATAGAGGGAATAACTATGCTTGCACTTCCTTGGAGTTGGTAAGAAGTATATTTTTAAGATTAGGTTTCAAAATGCTGAGTAAGTCCTTATTTCACATATGGCCTCAGTGAACTTTATTTCTCAGACTTTCAATTTATATTTAGTCCAAAAATGATAGCAGCCTCTGAACACCTGTCAATCCAGACATTTTGCATGTTTAGATGGGGAAATAGCCTCAAATACCTAAGCATGTTTGCACTGGTACAATTCCCTCATTTAGCTGTAAACAATTAACTTTAATAAGAAATAGCTTTTGTAACCAACATTCTCACTGTCATACCAGTGAATTTTATATAAAAGAGCCTACTGTGATTATTAAATGATCCTTAGCTCAAAAGGTGTTTGTACAGCAGGGACAGGGAGTATTTTGTTACAAAGTAAGAAGCTATTTCCTGTTCCTGATGGGCCACACATTATTGGTTTCCCAAAATTCAAAGTAAGCTTGAAGGATGGTAGATTTATGTTTACAAATAACTAAAACACTTTACAACAATCATCTGCATTCTCTCATTAAGAAAAAGTACACCACACAGAGACCAGTTATCTGTGAGATCAATAAGAAACTCCCTACCCACAGCAAATAGACTATAACATTAGTCTGATATATGCAAAATATTCAAGAGTATATTTGTCAGCAGTGGCACTAAGAGCAAATGTTAAACAAAATTAAGAGCTATCACTACCTCACAGAAATTTCTCATTTTGTGAGACCAAGTATGGTTATCAATAACAATTAATACTGAAACATTTTAATTGCTACTCAGGTGATGCTTTAATAATATTAAATCTGTAATCTAAATGATATTGCACATGTGGATTCAAATAGGATTGGCTTATAGGGAAACACTGCTATTTACACAGATAAAAAGATTCTTCAAGTCTTATTCAAATAATTTTTGCAGTGAGCCAAACCTACTCATACAAATATGAAGCACTCTTCTAATGTTATTATGAGTAAATTCAACTCTCTCACCACAAAATTCACAGATTTCCCAGCTGTTCATCTCATTCAACTTTAGTCAATGAAAACTTAATGCAAGTTATTCATCTATTCTGAATTGAATGCTTGGAATCATTATCTGGAAGCGCTAGTGACATGCAATAACATAAGCCTAGATAATAAGTTTAAAGTCAAAGACTACAATTTAGATTATTCAAGTTGAGATGAATCCCTCCCTCCCTATTCTCTCTTCTCTTTTTCTGTGGATCCAGTATGCTGCTCTCTTTCAAGTCCTGGGAATATGAGGCAGGATGGATACTCTCCGAGACAGCAAAATGAGCACAGCATCTTTCCATGACTGTCTACAATGAGGAACACCTGGAGACAAGTCGCTTTCACATCACTGACAACTCTAACCCAATGATGAATGACCTCTAAAGCTTCATCTGCTTTCCTTGCTCTGAAAAGGATGTAAGGATTTTACTTTGTCTTCATGACTGTGTAAGAATTGCTTAAAAGGTGCAACTTCAAAACTAACAGAGTTTTGGCACTGCAGAAGGTTGCTTGAGGTGCTACACAGTTGCCACTTCCAGGATGGTTGGTACGCCCGGACCCAGCTCCTCCACGGTTCCCTGGGCAGCACAATCTGCCCTCCTCACAGTTCCAAAGGAGTAATGGAGGGCAGAGCAAGTGAAGACACCACGGCCAAACTCTGTTGCACTCCCTGTGCAGGGTTGCTGATAAGCTTCACAGTAGCTGCTCAATGGGAGATATATGATAAGATGTCCGGTGCTAAGCCAGCAAGGGTGGCAAATCACTCCTTTCAGATCACCTTTCCTCATTATAAGCTCATTATAATGTCAAAACACACCTCCATCCCAAAAGCTACCCACCTCCAAGGTATGACCACTCCTCACTGAGCATGCACTCCAAATTTTTGATTGCCTGTACCTTTAAATGAAACCCAGAGACTTTTTTTTTATCAGTCAGTAATAAAAGTATGTATGACTACAGTCACTCAAGCCCCATCTAAATGTGAAAAAAGTATAAAAGGTGAACTAAGGTCCCACAGTGTAGTAGAGAATTTCCTGTTCTGACAACCAAAACCTGCTTTGTAAATGTTTCATTTGAATAAATCATGCTGTTTGTGAACTCCACTATTTGTTTGGAAGGTGATCGGACCTACAGTCCAATCAGACTGTAAATCTAATACTGACAAGAGTCAGGTATATAGCTGCTACAGCATTTTGATATCTTCCTCCCCACTGCTTTCAAAATGCAACAATACTTTCACATATGACTGGCATTTTTAGCAATTTAGTACTATAAGAGAAAAATATTTATTATCAGACTGCCTTGAGTAATTAGTGTTGCTTTATTGTATTCTACAAATAGTTAAAGCTTCCACGGTCAGCTGCTCAGGGAGGTAGCTATCTTGTATTCACGTATCTCAAGAATTGCAGAGAAAGAGACAAAGGCCAAAGTAGGTCAAATGATTCCTGTAGCTTGTGCGCTCCCAAACTGAAAACAAGATGTAGGTCCTGAAAAATTCAGTCTACTGCCCAGCTCCCTGGACTATGCATTTGGAAAATTTTTGCATCTCCGCATGTACTTCCTTAATTTATCTGAATAGTCATTGTAAATAAACATACTGTGTCGACCTAGACCGATTTGGTAGATCACTTTGAATAACTTGACTATGATGACTGTCAAAGGCAATGCAAAGTGCAAAGTAATACGACTGCTGATTTCTTGTTTATAATGCTTTCCCTCATCCTTAGGAACTAGACCAGACACTAGATATGCATGAGTGTACTTTAAAAAGTGCAAGTTAAAGGCACAGTTCAGAAAGAAGGCTTCATTACAAAAAACAAAAACACAAAATTCTGCACGCAACACACTGGCACATGCCAAAGTACTCTCTCTTCTCCCTTATCTAAATCTATCACTTACCTAAACCACTTATTATCACTTATCTAAATCTATCTCGACCTTACTGTGACTTAAAAGGAAGGGAACAAAGTCCTAGTAAATGTAGATTACTTAGAGAGTTCCTTCTTATGAGAGCCTTGTAAGGGGCAACCTGTGACTAAAACTGAACAGGTAATTCAGGAAGTGTAAAATGAATGGAGGCAAAG